TTTTGGCGATTGGCGGTTTGCAAACAGAATCACCAATATTAAAACCGCCAATCATTAATGTGCATGCTCAGTAATGCACGTGTACACAAAAATCGCCAAATTAAAAACCGCCAAATACAATTTCACAGCAAAATTGCCAAAATAAAGCACCACCAAAATAAAGCACAATACAGTATTAGCATTTTGGTAGCATGCATGCACAAAAATAAAAATGAAATTTTTGCTTCACAAATTATTACTTCAATTTAAAGTTAACTGTACATATTGATTCTATTTATAGTAACATATGATTCTATAAATAGATACTATCATACTTACCTAGTGTATGTTTCTTCTACATGATTTGGTATCGGTTCCACTTTATTTGAATTGTCATGACGATGAAAAACATTTCTAAACTTCTCGGCAAACCTAAAAGTAGGATTATTATAAAGTGGGGATTATAAATATTTTTAATATTAACCTCTTCCATCCACCTTTCTTACGACCTTTCTCCAGCTGCATCCTAAGACTAGTGGGTTTAATAATGAATAAATAAATATATAGACAAGTTAATAATAGTAATAATAATAATAATAAGTAATAATAATAATAATTTTAACAAAAAATCCTTAACTACACTGTCTACACAACATTATTATACACAATATGAATAATGATGCATTATTATTATTATTATTATTATTATTATTATTATTATTATTATTATTATTATTATAAAAGAGAAAGAGAGATGTGGGAAAAGAGGGAGAAACCCATAATCACAAAAATGGAAAGGAGAGAAGAAACAAAAAGAAGAATAAAGACGAGAGAGAAAGACATGAGAGAGAGAAAAGTTAAATCAGCCCATCCACAGAGGGCAGGACAGGTAGAGTTATTATTATTATTATTATTATTATTATATTCTTACGTTTGCTTCTCTTCATTTTGTCTGTGAACTTCTAATTGTGTTTCGTGGAGTTTCTTTAACACCTCATGAAGCTCCTTCTTTGTTACACAATAAACATCGAAAGGCTATGGAAACATATGAAGATAGAGAGAGATAGAAATAGTGTCGATATACAAGCACATGTATTTACCTGATCAAGATAACACTCTAATATCTCATCACGTTCAGCTCTTAACCTAAAAATAATTAACAAAAAATTAATGATTCAAAATCGTGGCACAAAAGAATTAAATTTATACTGTACAAGTAAATGCTCATACCAGGAGCCATAACTTGAAAAATTGAAGTCGGAATCAGCTCAAACTTTCTACATAGCATAAGTACATCAATATGTATCAGAAAATGTAATAAAAATTGGGGATGATTTCGGAGCCAATTTTGCGGAAAAAACCATGGGCTATAGCCTTGGGTATTTTTCGGATTTTGGCTCATTTTAAAAATGGCCATAACTTGAAAAATTGAAGTCAAAATCAGCTCAAACTTTCTATACAGCATAAGAACGTCAATATGTATCAGAAAATGTAATAAAAATTGGGGATGATTTCGGAGCCATTTTTCGGGAAAAACCATGGGCTATAGCCTTGGGTATTTTCCGGATTTTGGCTCATTTTTTAAAATGGCCATAACTTTAAAAATTGAAGTCGGAATCAGCTCAAACTTTCTAAATAGCATAAGTACATCAATATGTATCAGAAAATATAATAAAAATTGGGGATGATTTTGGAGCCATTTTTTTGGAAAGAACCATGGGCATAAGTATAGGGATTTTTTCAAAAATTTGCTCCTTTTCAAAACTATTAGTCATTAATACACTTACAGTGCTAGTTGCTCCTGCAGTTCTTGCATTTCTTTTTTGTAATACCCAACCTCCAAAGCAACTTGAGCACAGTCACTGTAGTAGCCACAAAAATAAACAAAAATTAATCAAAAATTAAAATTAAATAAAATGAGTTAATCACAAGCCTTACCCTTCAATATCCTCTTTCTCTAATCTCACTGATTCCAAACGCGATTTCAAGTGATCGTTTGATTTCTTAGTCTCTTCAAGCTCTTCCTC